TGTGGGGGGGGGGGTTTTTTTTGGGGGGGGGGGGGGGGCAGGAATTGTAGAATGTTGAGAGGAGGGGAGTCTAGGAATCACATGGCAAGTCAAAGTCAAAGCTTATCTAGGGTGGGGCTGGGTTTCTTTTCTGTCGGTCCGTGAGGAAGCACGCAGGCCCTGGCAGAGTATGAGTACGGGCTATCAGTGCAAAGGGTTTGTGGAGGGAAAGGGGTTTAGCGAATGGGGAGTGAACCACCAAGGCCCATCCAGCAGTGAACCGGACCAGAATTAGAGGTGGTCGTGTTGAGCCTTGGGGCAGTTTTGAGCGTGGCGCGGAGACCGGGATCTGTTCGAATAGACGACGCGTGTAGGACTGCTTCAAATTGGCAAATGGCAGGGTAGAGTTGGCAACCCACACATACACGTTTTTGGGAAAAGCTATAGACAACGTCTAGAGTAGACGGTACAAACGCTGTGAGCGCTGATTTGGAGTGAAGAAAATAATAAAAAAACGAAGTGAGCGGTCATGTCTCGTGGACGTACGATGGTGGGCAGTGACTTGGATTCATCATCAATGACAATGCAGATTGGATCCAAAGTCTTGAGATGAAGCGTTTGGCAGAAAAAAGAAAATATGACGCACTTGCCGGCAATTTTCTTGTGTGATCAAGAAAGCGAGTTTCGGAGCTATTTACAGCAGTACATAGTTCAGCCGAGGATCTATCTTGGGTCTAATGTTTGCGTGGACGTGTCGGGACCATCCTGGAGTGCTTGCACAAAATGGCAACTTTTTGGGCAAAATTGCAGCGCCATATTCCCACGCTCGGACTGTGCTGCAGGTTCGGGGGAGACGCAAGTCACCAAAGCGTGCAAAGCAACCCTGTCCTGGGTCAGCCTTCATCGTTTGTCGGACAGTCCGAACGAAAGGAAACAATAAAATGCCCATGTAGTACATTGTGGAAGCTCGAAGACAGATACGGGGGAACGGGAATGATTCGGCGGGGTCCCTCAAGACCGATGGGGCCGCCAGCGCAGTCTTAACATAACAGGTGGGGTAAGTGAACCCCATCGTGGAAACAATATCGTTTCCATCAACCACGCGAAGTTACCCTACAGGGCAAAAATACAATCATCCATCAAAGGTGTGGCCTTGTCTGGCCTATGCTACTTCTAAAGTACCAGCTATATGTAGACACGTCGTGGAACACCCACCAATCTGTTAGGTGGACCATCGAGCAGGAACAGCGCTCCGCTGCTACCCTTCCTTTCTCCCACGGAAGGAACCGGCACCCACCGGAGGGTACAAGATTAGCAGAGGTGGTGGCGTGATTGCCACCTCTTACTCAAACCTACGGGCACAAACAAAGACGGGGGGGGCGTTTTGTGTACGAGGAAGGGTAGCTCCTCCCCCTCCTTTGCAACGGACTTGACACCGGCGGTTCCGACCAAGAAAAGGCAGGAAACCGTCAAACATTGCACAAGCCAAAAAACAAGAAAACCACAGCATACATATCAACACACTCTGGGGGAAGGAATTCCTCCACCAACAGCAACAAATCGCCCCGTCCCCGTTCCAACGATCGTGTGAAAAGGGCAAGTCCCCGAAAGATTCTCAGCAAGCAACTGCCAGCAAACCAAAGAACAGAGTATCATGCCGTATGAACCAATTCCGCCGCCACCGGCCCAAGACACTAATTGGGAAGGGGCACAACCCTCGTAGGAGTCGTGTCGTGCATTTCTAGCGGCTAAGAACGCCCCACGCTATGAAAGCCCGATGGGTTCGATTAGATGCTTGTCGTGTTTGTAAGCGCCTCTGCGTGTGTATGGACCTCCTCGCCGCGTGGGTGGAAGGGAAAACAACTTGGCCGACCGTTCTCGATTTCACCTTGGGGGGAAAACTATTGAGCGTTCGTTGGTGCCTGGCTCATCGCCTGCTGGTGCTGCTGTTGTTGTGCCTGTGCCGCCTGCTGTGCTAGTTGTGCTTGCTGCTGCTGCTGCGCCTGCTGTTGCTGCAGGAGCTGCTGCTGCTGTTGTTGCTGCTGCTGCTGCTGCGCCTGCTGTTGCTGCAGGAGCTGCTGATGTTGGTGTATCAGCTGCTGCTGGTTTTGCAGCTGTTGCTGCTGTGGTTGCTGCTGTTGCTGCTGCTGCGGCTGCTGCTGCTCCTGTTGGTGATGTTGCGGCTGACCAGCATTCGCCAGCGCCTGCTGGACACCCGAACGAAGGCAGTGAGCCACGCGTAGTGGCAAGGAACCGGTTGTCAGGAAAAGCGGGAAACTCTCCATTCCTCCCTACTATGGCAATCCCTACCGGAAGCACGCTTCTTCTCAAGATTATGTTCTTCAGGGCCTCACACACAGAAAGGGCGGGGTCATGTTCGGGCAGGGCCAGCGGCGGAATGTGGGTTTTGTTATGTCTTAACACTTTTGTCGTGTGCCGCTTGGATGGTGCAAACAAGCCGTCGGGATTCTCTTTGCGTGCACATTGTATGTAGCGAGTGTCGATAGGGATCGCGACCCAAACACGAGAAAAACAAGCACAAAGAGACAAAGCAAAAAGACCATCGCAAAAAACAAGCGACCGCAAAAAAAAAAAAATCACGACGGCCACGACAACG